ATCTGGAGGGGCAGGTAGGGGGTGTTTGGGAGCTTTACATTCTTTGGGGCCCTCTGGAAATGGGGAGAGAGAACTGGAGACCCAGGGCTATCTAATGCTCTTCCCTGACTTGTCCACTCATTCATATCTCATTCATTGCCTACTCTGTACCACACATAGTTCTAAGCCTTTAAGATAACATGAGGGAACAAAACAGCTAGTGACCCCTGCCCAGACAGACAAGTGTGTCAGAAGCTGACAAGTGAAAGAGAGGGTTGGGCTAGGGAAGGGGCACCAGGAATGCTGGGCAGGTGGGGCAGACGACAATCTTCACCCAGCCAGTCAGGGCCAACACACTGCGTAGGTTAGGTCTGAGCCCAGCAAGAGGAGGCCAACTGGAGGCGAGAGCAGTGGTGTGAAGGATGGAGGCAGGAGGCTATTGGGAGAAGAGAAGGAAGCCAGTGTGGCCAGAGGTGCCCTAGAGCCTAGGAAGGCTTTGGGTTTCTCTTTTTTGCTGCAATGCAAGGCATATGGGGGGAATCTTAGTGGCCCGTGGGGTGGAAGCATAGAGCCTTAACCACTGGACCACCAGGAAAGTGCCTGGAAGGCTTTGTTTTGTTTTTAAAGATTTATTTATTTGGCTGTACGGGTCTTAGTTGTGGCATGTGGTATCTGGTTTCCTGACCAGGCATCAAACCCGGGCCCCCTGCACTGGATGGTGGATTCGTAGCCACTGGACCACCAGGGAAGTCCCCGAGGCTTCAGTTTTGACTCTGAGCAGGATGAGGCCATTGCAGGGTGTGGAGCAGGGGAGAGATATGGTCTACTTCAATTTCAGTTGCATCATCGGGCTGCTGGTGGAGGACAGGCTGGAAGGGGAAGTGGAAGGGATGGAGCGGGGGCAGGGATGCCAGCTGCGGGCAGGTATCCAAGTGGCGGTGATGGTGGTTTGGGGCCAGGGCAGAAGCAGTGGGGGAGCCAGCGAGGGATTGGATTCAGTGTCTGTTTTGGAGGTACTATGAACGCGTTTCCCCATGGAACGGTGGTGAGGTAGAGAGAAAGGGAGGTGTCCAGGCAACTCCGGGGGTTGGGGCTGCCTTTGGGGCCATCACAGCTTTCTCTGGGCAGTGACACCTGAGCCCGGGGTCTCCGTGCCCTTGAGCGAAGATCCCTTTCTCCTCAACCTCCACCCCCAGGTCCCAACTGCCCAACATTCCTGAGAATAGAAATCTGACAGAATATTTCGTGTTTGTCGATGTGAAGCACGTGTTCCATCAGAGTGCCCCCAAGCTCTCCTAATGCCATATTCCTCTGGGTTTGCAGTCAAACTTGCAGTCAGCACCTTGCCTGCCTCCATGGGTCTGCCCCACCACATCCCCACCGCTGCTGTCTTCCGGGCTTACCACATAGGAATACACATGAGATTAACAGACAGAAACGTGACCCTGGGTGATGTGGTCCTGATGTGGGGACACTGACAAAAGGAATATTCATTTATCGAGATGTGGGGAAGTCATTCTGGCTTATACATGAGTTAACTTGAATTTGATGCTAATTAGAACAGCCTATTTGTGGCCTATCAAACATACACAGTAGATCTGCTGTAATTATTGACCAGAAGTAAAGAATGTCCATGAAAAGGGACTTCCCTAACAGTCTGGTGGTTAAGACTGTGGGCTTTCACTGCATGGGGTGCGGTTTCGATCCCTGGTCAGGGAACTAAGATCCCATATGCTGGGCAACCAGAAAAAAAAACAAAAAAAATGACTATCTTAAAAATAAAGATGAAATGCTTCTTCAGTGATAAGACACCCTTCCCAGGTACCAAGGCCATATTGGCTTGCTATGTTTGTGCTGATTTGTTTTTCTGAAACTTTGAAGGACTAAATCACTGATTTGCTTGATGTTCTTTGTTCTTTTCAGTTGTTAAGTCTTGTCTGACTCTTTGCGACCTCATGAAGTGCAGCAGAGCAGTCCAGCAGAGCAGAAGCCAGTACACAGTAGATCTGCTGTAATTATTGACCAGAAGTAAAGAATGTCCATGAAAAGGGACTTCCCTAACAGTCTGGTGGTTAAGACTGTGGGCCTCCACTGCATGGGGCGCGGTTTCGATCCCTGGTCAGGGAACTAAGATCCCACATGCTGGGCAACCGGAAAAAAAAAACAAAAAAAATGACTATCTTAAAAATAAAGATGAAATGCTTCTTCAATGATAAGACACCCTTCCAGGTATCAAGGCCATATTGGCTTGCTATGTTTGTGCTGATTTGTTCTTCTGAAACTTTGAAGGACTAAATCACTGATTTGCTTGATGTTCTTTGTTGTTGTTCAGTTGTTAAGTCTCGTTTGACTCTTTGCGACCTCATGAAGTGCAGCAGAGCAGTCCAGCAGAGCAGAAGCCAGGCTTCTCTGTCACTCACTATCTCCCGGAGTTTGCTCAAACTCACGTCCATTCTCAGTGATGCCATCCAACCGTTTTATCCTCTGTCACCCCCTTCTCCTCTTGCCCTCAATCTTCCCCAGCATTAGGGTCTTTTCCAGTGAGTCAGTTGTTTGCATCAGGTGGCCAAAGTATTGGAGTTTCAGCCTCAGCATCAGTCCTTTCAATGAATATCCAGGGTTGATTTCCTCTAGGCTTGACTGGTTTGATCTCCCTGTTGTCCAAGGACCCTTGGAGTCTTCTCCAGCACCACAGTTCAAAAGCATCAATTCTTCAGCACTCAGCCTTCTTTATGGTCCAACTCTCACATCCATACCTGACTACTGAAAAAAACCAAACCAAAGACTAGATGAATCTTTTTCTGATCAGACATAAAACTGTGCTGAAAACCATGCTTCTCCAGAGCTGTTCCTCAGGGTTATCTGAGGCTGTCTTCTGGGGTATATTCCTCAGTTTGGCTCAAATAAAACTCTTTTCAATTCTTATTATAGATTGTTGTTGATTATTCTTGTCGACAACACCAATACCTGGAAACTCCCTTGATGACCTCCGAAGCTTCCCAAATGACGTGAGATAAGAGATCCTCAAAATGCATGTGCCTGGCCAGATCACCTTGCTGGCCGGAGCACCTGAGACTGGAACTCAGTTTGAGGTGAAGTGAAGTGAAGTGAAGTCGCTCAGTCGTGTCTGACTTTTTGCGACCCTGTGTTTCTGATCAGACATAAAACTGTGCTGAAAACCATGCTTCTCCAGAGCTGTTCCTCAGGGTTATCTGAGGCTGTCTTCTGGGGTATATTCCTCAGTCTGGCTCAAATAAAACTCTTTTCAATTCTTATTATAGATTGTTGTTGATGATTCTTGTCGACAACACCAATACCTGGAAACTCCCTTGATGACCTCCGAAGCTTCCCAAATGACGTGAGACAAGAGATCCTCAAAATGCATGTGCCTGGCCAGATCACCTTGCTGGCCGGAGCACCTGAGACTGGAACTCAGTTTGAGGTGAAGTGAAGTGAAGTCGCTCAGTCGTGTCTGACTTTTTGCGACCCTGTGGAATGTAGCTCACCAGGCTCCTCCGTCCATGGGATGCTCCAGCCAAGAATACTGGAGTGGGTTCCCATTTCCTTCTCCAGGGGATCTTCCAGACCCAGGGATCGAACCCAGGTCTCCTGCATTGCAGGCAGATGCTTTAACCTCTGAGCCACCAGGGAAGCCCCTGGAACTCAGTTTAGAAGATGCCAAACCCTGTGCTTCTTTCACTCCACGCACATGTCTCCCCTTGTGGGGTAGAGAGAGATAACAGAGTAGGAAAAAATCAAAGTACCAGACACATAGAAAACACGACCAATGCACAATCATCTGATTTATAAAGAGTGACAACACAAATTTTTAAGTCGAAGTATAGTTCACCTCATGCGAAGAGTTGACTCATTGGAAAAGACCCTGATGTTGGGAGGGATTGGGGGCAGGAGAAGAAGGGGACGACAGAGGATGAGATGGCTGGATGGCATCACTGACTCGATGGACATGGGTTTGAGTAAACTCTGGGAGTTGGTGAAGGACGGGGAAGCCTTGCGTGCTGCAGTCCATGGGATCACAAAGAGTGGGACAGGTCTTCTGGACTGAACAACAACAGCATAGCTGATTCACAATGCTGTGTTAGTAGCTGGTGTATGGCCAAGTGGCAACACATTTTTTAAGTGGCAACACAGTTTTAAACGATACAAAATAGCACTTTTCAAAACAAAAGGTGTGTCTTTTGAACCTGCCTGCCAGTGCAGGAGAACTAAGAGCTGGTTGGATCCCTGGGTTGGGAAGATCCCCTGGAGGAGGAAATGGCAACCCACTCCAATATTCTTGCCTGGAAAACCCCATGGACAAAGAAGCCTGGCGGGCTACAGTCCGTGGAGTCACAAAGAGTCAGACATGACTAAAGTGACTTAGCATGGCACAGCTCATAACAGAGCAAGAGGGCGACTGGAGGGACCATTCGTTTAGTGAACTGGCAGCAGGGGAAGTCGGTCTAAGGAAGCAGAGAGGAAGACAGCGATTCTGGTCCCTGGCCCGTTGGCTTGGGTTGTTGTCCACAGAGAAGTGAGTATCATAGCCTGGTCACCCCAGGCAGAGAGACACACCACCCTTTATACACCAAGTCCCCAGCTCTCCCCTGGGAAAGAGGCTCTGGGAGGAGGAGGTGAGGGAGGCTGTTTCTGACACATGCTGAGGAGTCCGTGGTAAACAACCCTTGGAGAAGGCGGCTTCCGGCCCTGGTGAGTCACTCCTTTTGGCTGGGCCTGGCTCCTGGTGGCCAGGCCCCACCTACCCCGGCTGGGGTGAGCAGCCTGCTCTGCAGGGCTGTGGGATGAGCAGGAGTTGAGCTGGGGTGGGGGGTGGCTCCTTAGATCCTTGTCCACTGAGGCAGCCCTGGAGGGAGCCCACCCCCAGCGCCTGAGCCCGGCTGCTGGGCCTGGTCACACCGCGAGGCCCTCGCTGGCTGTCAGGGGGCTCAGGCCACGGTGGGCCATCCTCCCTGCCCCGTGAGATCTCACACTCTGCACATCTCTAGAGCTGGTTGGCTTCCCATCCTGGTCCCCTGAGGTCTTGGCACCCGGCCCTCAGCCGGGGTTAAACATTAGTAGCAGATTATCAGTCCAGGGTCCGGGGAGGGTGGAATTCCACTTTCCCAGCGTCTCCTCTGCTGGAGCCACCTGTGCCCACCCCTGCCAGACATGCCCGCGGAGGAGTTTGTGGCCGGCTGGATCTCTGGTGAGACACTTTTCTTCCCTCTGTCATATCAATGCCAATTGCAGGTCACTCTTCCTGGGGAAGGTGGGTGACCTGAGAGGAGCTGAATTCAAAGTCCTGGTGGCCTGGGAGTACCCAGAACCAGCCGTCCCTGGGCCTCCTGGGAGTTGCCCGAGGGGGTGAGGAGGGGAAGGTGCAGTAGGCGGGGGCTACTGCCGAGCCCCAGGCTGCCCCCCAACCTGGACACCTGTCAGGGGTGGGGCCACGGTGAGTGCTCTCCCAGACTCACCTGCACCGCCAGCTCTATTCCCCAGGGCTCAGAAGGACCGTTCACCTTTGACATTACCCGCTGTCCTGCATTCTGCTTTGGATCTCTGTCCTACCTGGCAATAGGCTGTGAGCCCTGAGGCCAGCTGCGCTGTCGCCCTGGCCCAGCATCTGAGTGACATTCCTCTTTGGGAGAAAGAGACATCAGAACTCGCCTTCCGGGGTTGTGACCTCTCCAAAGCTCCAGGACCAGCTTCTGCTAAGTAGGGCAGGACCAGGAGGTGGGGAGATGCTGGGGGCGCTGGGCCCTCCTGGTGCCAGCAGGCATCCTCTCAAGGCCCCTGAATTTGCACTGCCAGGGCAGAGGGCTGGGAGGGAGGGGCTGGACCAAGGCCCTGCCCTCGACAGCAGCTGTGAGCCGAAGGGAGGCCAGAGTCCTGGAGTCCCCAAGTTAGACAAGTCAGCAGGCTGCTCGGGGGTCAAGCCCAGACGGGTGAAAACCCTGTGTGTCTGGGGTTGGCTCCTCCCCTCTGCGTGTGTGTCCTCCAGGCAGGGCCAGGCTCACTCTCTCTGCTCCCCACACCTTCCCTGCCCAGTGCCTGGCATGGAGGAAGGTGCCAGGGGGCAACTGGCATTTCTTTGGAGTCTGGCAGGTGGGCCCTGTCCCCCTTCCTCCGGCCTGAATCCCGCTCCCCTCTGGCACACCCTGGCTTCCTCAGCCCAGCCTGAGAGGCCTCACTCCTAGCACCTTATCATCTCCACAGGAGCTCTGGGCTTGGTCCTGGGACACCCCTTTGATACTGTGAAGGTGAGTCTAGGGGAGGCGCCAAGAAAGGAAAGATGTCGGCTGAAGCAGACATCAGGGAGAGAGCAGGGCCTGGCTCGTGGAGGCTCTCCCTGCCTCTCCCTCCCTGCTGGGGTCCCGCTCAAAGGGCCCGAGGGCCGGGCCGGCTGGATGCCCGGCCTTCCTGCCTGCTCTGTCCTCCCTGTCCAGGTGCGGCTGCAGACCCAGACCACGTACCGGGGCATCGTCGACTGTATGGTCAAGACTTACCGCCATGAGTCGGTGGGTGGCCTGCGTTGGTGGATTTGGGGGCAGGAGGCCTCTGGGGGGTTAGGGCCAGCTTCCTTCTCCCCTAGCAGGGCTCTGCCCCCTGGAAGAGAGAAACAAGACCCAAGTCTGGGGCCACCAGGTGTGGGCTGAGCAGTAGCTTCACGCCCCCCAAAGTGGAGCTGAGGCCATCCCCCGCCTTCGCTGGCCTCCACTTGCCTGTGACCGGACTCAGGAGTGGTTTCCAGCCAGAGGAGGCTGTGCCAGGCCTGGAGGGGGCCAAGGGGAGGCTCCCAGAGCCCCCAGCCAGCTCACATCATGTCTCTGCAGCTCCTGGGCTTCTTCAAGGGGATGAGTTTCCCCATCGCCAGCATATCTGTGGTCAACTCCGTCCTGTTTGGGGTCTACAGCAATGCCCTGCTGGCGCTGACAGCCACCTCCCACCAGGAACGGCGGGCCCAGCCGCCCAGCTACACACACGTCTTCATAGCCGGCTGCACCGGGGGGTTCCTGCAGGTGAGGGGGTGCATAGGCACACACACACACACACACACACACACACACACACACACACATCTGGGACCTGGCCTGGCTGAGTGGCGGCCTTCTAGGCTGCAGGTCTGGAGGGGAGAGTCATGGAGAACAGAAGGGGCAAAGGGGAGAGAAAGCTGAGGTGAGGGGGTGCATAGGCACACACACACACACACACACACACACACACACACACTTGCATAGTGATGATCAGTTCATTCCTTTCCCTCCAACCCGCCTCTGGTGACCCACAGCCACAGATCCCCAGCCTTTTCAAGGGGAACATGAGGAGTGGTGGGGAAAGGCCTGCTCCTGGGACCTGGCCTGGCTGAGTGGCGGCCTTCTAGGCTGCAGGTCTGGAAGGGAGAGTCATGGAGAACAGAAGGGGCAAAGGGGAGAGAAAGCTGGGGTGAGGGGGGGACAGTGCTAAGAAGACAGCCATTGGTGCCCACCTCGGGGGGGTCTGTTGCCATCTCTGACCCTCACCCGTGGCCCATTCACAGATCTCACTGGGAGAGGTCCAGGGTGTTAATTATTAAGTGACCAACCATTTGGTTCTGGTCTTTGTTCTCAGTGCTCGAATACTGGGTTTTGAGGGGTGGGGTGGAGGGAACCCCAGCTAAGGGCGGGGCTGGGTGCAGAGGCTGGAGGGCATGCACCTGGCTGCACCCCACCCCCCAGCTAGTACCCCAGGTCACCCTCTACTTGACACCTGCCCTGATGCTCTGTCCACTTCAGGGCAGAGAGCAAGGACAAAGAACAGAGTCAGGGGCTCATTGAGTGAATTAATAATTCATGAGACCCGAAAGGTCCTGGCTTTGCTTCTGCCCCTAGTGCGGGATTCATGCCTGCGTATTTCCCAAACTCTGAGACCTGCACCCCAATAAACAGGAAAGAGAGTGAGCCCCCAGGTCAAGTGGCCTGATTTAGGTTCAGCTGGGCCCAGCTCCTCCATCCCCCTCCTCTCTGGTTCCTCGGAAAGCAGAACAGATAGCGGAACTGGGGACGGTCAGGTCACTGATGGGCATAGGGTCCAGGGACCACGTGAAGCTCCATTTACCACCAAGCCCAAGGCTCTGATTTCCACCTTAGAGTGGAAAATGTATATTTTGCATGGTGATGGGGAGGAAGACTCTGGTTAGCATAAAGCAAGGAATGACCACCTCTTGTGTACAAAAGTTGTGTTTGACTCGGCTAAGGCTGGTACAGTGTCTGATATCCCTACGGCCCCTGTGGGCACAGGTGGGGATGGCAGGGACCCGAGCCCACCCCTCCCTGCCACACTGCCTTTGGCCCACCCATGTCTTCACCCCCAGGTGAAGCCCTCAGTTCAGTACGGCCCTTGGGCTCTGCTGGAAGGGTGACATCACAGCACCTTCTCATAGGAAGGGACCCCAGCCCACTGCCCTTCCTGAGGGGGAGGAAGTAAGCCAGCTACCACCCTCTAAAGGTCACCACCATAGCCAACCTGCAGCCTCCGCCTGCTGCCATCAGCCATCTCCAGGGCTGAGGACTCTGTGTGCCTTTCACGAAAGAAAAACAAAAAACACCCAAGTCCAGAAATGGCTGGGACCTCAGTCCTCACCTGAACTTGCCCTAGTTGCATCCCTGACTCACATCTTGGCCCCTCCCTTCCCTCAAGCACCAATGTTACCCCAGATCTGTCTCATCCGACTCAGCCATCATGTTCGAGGACCCTCAGATCCCACCCTGTCACCCACCTTCTTGGGACGCTAGAGTCTGGGGCTTTGTGAGGTGCATTTCCCCACCCAGGGGCCTCTGAGAGGCATCTGGCAGGGGGTGAGGCCGGAGGAGTCTATGAAGTTGAGTCCCCAACATGATCGAGGTGACCTCTTTATCTGTGGGGAGGGTTCCATCCCCTGCTGTTTTGTGGGCACAGATGGAATTCTCTTTTTGTTTTTTTTGGGGGGCCCCAGCCATGGCAATGAAACCACCAAGTCCTAAGCACTGGCCCGCTAGGGAACTCTTTAGAGCCATGGGTGTGTCAGCAAGTTTGGCCGAGGGGAGGGGCAGGGCTCCTTGCTGTCACGGGTCTGATGGTAAGGGAGGGGGCTCTAGCCCGTTCCCCACTGAGCGTGAGAGAGGCTGAGAGTGGTCATGGGAGCCCGCGAGGTCCTGCAGAAAGATGCTGCCCTATCTACTCGCTGCCTTCCTCCCATTAAGATAACTTGGAGAGATTGTTCCTGTCCAAAGGTCCAGCCAGGCCCTTCGTGCTTGCTTCCCTACAGGCCTACTGCTTGGCTCCTTTTGATCTCATCAAAGTCCGGCTGCAAAACCAGACAGAGCCCAGGGAGAAGCCGGGGAGCCCCCCACCGCGGTACCGGGGCCCCGTTCACTGTGCCGCCTCCATCCTCCAGGCCGAGGGGCCCCAGGGGCTGTTCCGGGGAGCCTGGGCCCTGACTCTGAGGGACACCCCCACCCTGGGAATCTACTTCGTCACCTACGAATGGCTGTGTCGCCAACTCACACCGGAGGGCCAGAACTCCAGTAAGTGAAGTGGTGTCAGAGGGCGGGGGACAGAGAGGAGGGGGGAGAGGGGGGTGGCCTGGAGGATGGGGAGGGAGACTGTGGATGGGGGGATGTTTCATTCCTCGACGAATACCTCCCCATTCCTGTCCCCCAGGCTCAGGCACAGTGCTGGTGGCAGGGGGCTTTGCCGGCATCATCTCCTGGGTCGCCGCCACCCCGTTAGACGTGATCAAGTCCCGGATGCAGATGGCGGGGCTGAAGCAGAGAGCCTACCTGGGGCTGCTGGATTGCATAGTGAGCAGTGCCCGGCAGGAAGGACTGGGGGTCTTCTTCCGGGGGCTCACCATCAACAGTGCCCGCGCCTTTCCAGTCAACGCCATCACCTTCCTTAGCTACGAGTACCTCCTTCTCTCCTGGGGGTGAGCCAGGCTGGGTGACTCTGGCAGCTCCCCGGCAGGACCACCGCCCACCTACCCAGACTGGAGGCCAGGCTGAGAGCACTGGCTTGTGGGTCTGATGCAGAGGGTGACTTTATCAAGTCACCTCCATTGCTCAGATCAGACGGGGCTGGGGAGATGGCATGGGACCAGGAAGCCTGGGGTCCCTGGCGCGCCCCTCCCCTCCCTGCAAAGTCCAAGGCTGGCCCGGGCCTCTCAGCAGCACGTGCCCTGATTCCTTTGCTTCCTGAATCTGAGAAGTTAACTCAGAGCCAGCAGTGCTGGTGACATTCCGCTCCCCCCAGATCCTGTGACTTCGCCCCTTTAAGAGCTGCTTGGTGCTAACCACCCTCCCTGGATTCGAGTGAGGAGATCCTCATTCACTCCCCGCCTCACTTCCCTTCAAACCTCTCTGTGCAGGACTTGAGGGTAGCCTTTATGCCTCCTCTAGTCCAGAATCCTTCAGTGACTCCGTCACTTTCAGGAAAAGGCCCCCACCCCATCCCCTGCCCCCCAACTTTCCTCTCCCTCCCTTCTCAGCAGCCCAGTCCTGCTTGAGGTCCCTGAACAAGCTGTACTCTCTCATGGCCTCCCACCTAGAAGGTTCCTTTCCTCTCAGTCAGCAGTGGGCAGTGCTTGCAGGCTGACTCCCCCATCCCAGGGCTGAGCTACCTCCAACCTGGGCCATGTGCTGTCTCCTGAAGTCCTTCCTCAGCTCGCCTCCCCCTGCCCGGAACTGACCCTGAGGTTTCCAGACCTTTCTGCTCATCCCCATGCCTCGATCACAGCCTTGGCCTGTACTTAATCATGGTTGCGGGTTTGCTTCTTGGCTTCCCAATTAGACTGGGTGCTCTTTGAGGTCAAGGGTCATATTTCTGGTTGTTTCCCAGCACGGAGCCCCATGCTTGAAGGAACCTGATAAATGCTTGTGAAATGAAGTGCACGCCCAACCTCCATCCACCACTCCAACCACTACATCCCTGCCCCCCCGCCCCCCACACCCTCTTACTCCTTCCACTGAGAGAGCCCCTCACCCGGCCCCTCTTGGGGTCTCCAGCGGTGCAGTGTCTGCCTTGCCCACTCCCATCGAGGGCACTTGTTTTCTTCACAATCTCTATTGCCAAGGGGGAGTTTAAAAACTAGCTGAAAGGGTTCATTTAATTGGCAAATAAAGTGAGCAAACATCCTAATCTAGTCTGAGATCAACCAGGGCACTCCCCCCTTCCCTACCCCGCCTCATGGTGACCTGAACGCCTGGGATTCCTGCCATTTACTGGGGCCCCGTATAAAGACAATCACAGTGTTATCACCATGGTTTACACAGGAGGTGGCCTTGGCTCAGAGACAGCGTGTCACCCGTCCCAGGTCGCACGGGGGCTGCTTTACACAGCTCACCTGCATGGATCTGAGCCTCTGCCTCCAGAGCCTGGATGCTCTGCGACCCTGGTCTGCCTGGGGCTTGTGACAGTCTCCCACGAGACACCTAAGCTCAGATTCACCCAGACTTACCAGAACCACGACATCAGCCTCCCCGTGCGCTCTTCAGATCTCTTGTTTACGGGATCGTGTGTCATAGGTGGCAGACGGTACCCTAAACATCCTTCCCTTCTTCCCTCCTCACCGCATGGCCGCTGAGCACATGGCCATGAGTGAGGCTCTGTTCCCCTCGGTGGGGACTGCTGCTTGGCTTCTTGCTAGCGACATGTGAGCAGAAGAAATGTGTGCAAATTGCCCATCGCTTGCTTCAGAGTAGTTTCCTCACTGTTGGCTGGAAATAGGGGCCACTGCTGAGGATATAGGAGGCTCCTGGAACCCAGGGACTCAGCGAGCACCGCTGACCGGCTGCCTGGGGTGCTACATTCTGACATCTCTTTAGCCTTTACCCGAACTAACACAGTGGGTAAGGTCAGGGGTGATCCCAGCGTGGTCCATGGAGCAGTAGCAAGAGGACTTCCTAGAGAGGGTTAGAAAGGCAGAGTCCCAGGCTCCACTCTGAACTGATGGAATCAGAATCTCTGAGGCTGGGGCCTAGGAATCAGCATTGCACAAAACTCTCACTGTGATCTTTTGTGGTTGTTCAGTTGCTCAATCGTGTCTGACTCTCAGTTGTGTCCCATGAATTGCAGCACGCCAGGCTTCCCAGTCCTTCATTATCTCCCGGAGTTTGCTCAAATTCATGTGCATTGAATTGGTGATGCCATTTAACCATCTCATCCTCTGTCGCCCCCTTCTCCTCCTGCCTTCAACCTTTCCCAGCATCAAGGTCTTTTCCAATGAGTTGGTTCTTCGCATCAGGTGGCCAAAGTACTGGAGCTTCAGCTTCAGCATCAGTCCTTCCAATGGATATCCAGAGTTTATTCCCTTTGGGATTGACTGGTTTGATCTCTCAAGAGTCTTCTCCAACAACACAGTTCAAAAGCATCAATTCTTTGACACTCAGCCTTTTTCTACTGTCCAGCTCTCACATCCATACATGATTAGTGGAGAAGTCATAGCTTCGGCTATAGGGACTTTTCCAGGCTAAAGTTTAAGAAATGGTGCTCTGGATGCTTCTTCTTCTTCTTCTTTTTTTTTGATGCTTCTAAGGGAAGAAACGCACGACATTTTCAACCTGAGGAAGTTGTCGTTCTGCTGACTTGAACTCCAGTTCCGGTGGCCTCCACTCTCACACGGAGTGAGGAAGCCCGTGCTCCTGGTCTGGAAAACAGGGTCTGTCTGAGGCAGCCAGCGCCCTTTCTGTGCCCCAGTTTGCTCTGAGATCCGCTCTAACTGGTTTGTCCTCGAGCCCAAGTGGCCAGTCCAATATCTCCAGGATCGCTGCAGTGTCAGGGATTTTAGGCCACACACTGCAGTGTTGGGGAGCAGTCATCGGAACTTCTCAGGGGAGTCTGTGGCTGCTTCAGAGGGAGCAAACAGTATGCATGTGAAAGAGGAGGTGGTTCTTTGAAACGGGGCAAGGAGGTCAGAGTGGTCCTCTGCAGTTTGTCATTTTTACCACCTCACCAGTTAGCAAGAGAAGAAAATTGAAAAATGCTTTTTGGGGACTTCTTTGGTAGTCCAGTAGTTTAGCTTCAGCACTTCCAAAGCAGGGGTGCAGGTTTGATCCCTGGTTGGGGAACTAAGACCCCACATGCTGTGTGGTACAGCCAAAAAATAAAAAATAAAACAGAATCACACAGCTTCAAAAAAAATTAAAATAATAATGATAAAATTTCCAAAATCCTTTTTTTTCCAAGATTTTTTGATGTAGATCATTTTTAAAAAGCTCTTTGTTGCATTTGTTACAATATCGCTTCTGTTTATGTTTTGTTTTTTTGGCTGCGCTGTATCTTTCTTGCTGCAAGCAGCCTTTCTTTAGTGGCGGAGAGCGGGGGACTGCTCTCCAGTTGCAGGGCACAGGCTTCTCATTGCAGTGGCTTCTCTTGTTGCGGAGCACAGGCTCAAGGCACTTCAGTAGTTGTGGCACAGAGCTCCTTATCTGTGGCTCACAGGCCCTAGGCCATGCAGGCTTCAGTCGCTGTGACATGTAGACTCAGTCATTGTGGCTTGCAGGCTCTAGAGCACAGGCTTAGTTGCTCAGTGACATGTGAAGTCTTCCCAGGCCAGGGATCAAACTCATGTCCTTTGCACTGTCAAGCAGATGCTTATCCACTGTGCCACCAGGGAAGTCCTGCAACTTTGTTTTAATTAGATCCTTTTGCAGGCTATAATTCTACCTGCAAGCTTGTCTTTACACTGCAGGGCACAGAGTTTCTGTTTCCTCTCTGTGTGAAGGGGCGGGAGCTCCCTTCCTCTGTGCTCCTCATTAGAACCAGAGAGAGTGGCAGGCCCCTGTCTGGCCGGCCATGCAGTCCCAAGCCTGAGTCGCTTCCACTGGCCTTTGGCACGGGCTTCCAGCTGGCCCGGAGAACAGCACTGCGGTGAGGTGAGGGTTAAGCGTGGTATGATTAGAAAGAAAACAACTCACTCCTCTTGGAAAGGAGGGTGGAAAGACAAACAAAGATCACGCAGGAAATGACTGAATATATTTTAAAAACCCAGATGTTTTTACATCAGCAGGGGCTCAGAATAGCCTGTTAAACTCCTTAAGGAATTAACACAAGTTTTTTGAGCATCACTAGGCTTCCCTTGTGGCTCAGTTGGTCAAGAATCCACCTGCAAGGCAGGAGACCTGGGTTCGATCCCCAGAATACTTCAGTATTCTGGCCTGGAGAATTCCATGGACTGTATAGTCCATGGGCTTGCAGAGAGTCGGACACGACTGAGCAACTTTCACTTTCACGCATCATTATTTGAGACTTATTCAGAGAGAAGTCCCTGAAAACTAGGAAATAGTAAACAAACCTGCTTTGAGGTTGAACATGGGGGTGGTGTTTGAGGGTCACAAGTAAAGGGTTTACAACTTGGGTAAAGGTGTTAAACAGTGTCTCATTGGATTTGGGTCATCAAATGTCATCCTTAATTTTTAAGGTCATTATTGAATTTGTTACAATAGTGCTTCTATTTTATGTTTTGTTTTTTTGGCCCTGAGGCTTGTGGGGTCTTAGGTCCCTGACCAGGGATTGAACCTGTTCCTCCTGCACTGGAAGGTGAGGTCTTAACCACTGGACCATCAGGGAAGTCCCCTGTCATATTTATTCTTGCAGCATCAATCACAGTAGGAGAAATGGAGGAGATTAATTTCTGGGTATAGAGACTCGAGGGCTACACATGCAGGTAAAGGGGGACAAGGCAGCACCCTGGGATGATTCTGGTTAAATCACTTTTGCCAGACTCTCTGGGCCAAGAGGAGTCACACTTAATTGGGGTCTCTGGCCTGAGCGCTGTCCTGAGCTCCCAGTCCACATGGCCAACTAACTGTCTCTGGTTGCGGATCCGTGAGCATCCCACACATGCGAGTTTCCGGAGGCCAGAAAAGCAGCTCTCCTTCTCCCCTGCTCCCACTTCAAAGGGGTCCCCAACACCTGTGAATCCTGCTTCTAAACTTGGGACTTATTCTCCCTTTTCCAATCTTACTAACACACCTCAAGTCCTGTCTGAAATCAAATGCGAATCTGATCAGGTCCCTCTACTGCTCTTGCCCCTCGACGGCTTTTCCCATTGCTCTGAGGAATCGAGGCAGTTCCCTTCCTCGGCCTGTAAAGCACTTGGACATTCATCTTCTCTTGGTTCCTTCCCATCGCAGGACATTTGCATCGCAAACGCTATTCTCACTGTCTGTTTGCCTCTGGCTCTCAGTTCAGCACCACTTCCCTAGTGAAACTGTCCTCAGCCCCTCTTTCTAGGTCAGTGTCCTTTGGTTTAGGCCAGTGATTCAGAATCACCTGGCAGGCTTGTTAAAATACAGATTGTTGGGTCCCCTTCAGAGTTTCTGATTCAGTGAGTTTGGAGAGGGTCTGAGAATTTGCTTTGCACTATATTCCTGAATGCTGCTGGTTTCAGCCATGGTTTGAGAACCACAGGCTTGTACTTTCATGTTCTCTCCCCCTTTTCAGTCTGTAATCACAGACTTTCATTTGCGTGACCCTGGTGGTTCAGATGGTAAGAAATCCACCTGCAGTGCAGGAGACCCAGGTTCAATTCCTGGTTGGGAAAGATCCCCTGGAGACAGGAATGGCTACCTGCTCCAGTATTCTTGCCCAGAGAATCCCATGGACGGAGGAACCTAGTAATCTATAGTCCATGGGGTTGCAAAGAGTCGGACATGACAGAGTAACTAACACTTTCTCTTTGGTTATAATCATCTCTTCTCTAAACTACAAGCTCCATGAGGCAGAGACCTTGCTTCTTTTGCTCATTAAAACACTAGTGGGCTTACAGAAGCTCAATATATAATTGTTGAATGAGCAAATGAACGAATGAATGAAAACTGGTCTTCCCCACTTCCCCCTGGCAGGCTGGTACTCTAATTTTACACAGAGCTGTCCTACTATAAGGCATTAGATTTCAACCATTATGACAAAATATGATGGTAAAACCATCGCTAACTTGGCAAGAAGTGAGGGAACTTCCCAAAGACCCCTTCAAAACAAGGAAGTGAGTATGTGTTGGAACTGTGCTGCCCTTGGGGCAAACGGTGCCACTGAGAACCTGAAGATGAAAGAAACCCACAGAACAGAAGACTTTGGCCCAGAGAGTGAG